AATATTGATTTTTTGCTGCTGTTTAAACGCGAGTCTAAAAATAAAAGCTTCCAGCCAAAGACGCGCTCTCCGTAAAAAAATCGTAATTTCTAAACAGAGGCAAGTACTCACTTGGAAATTTTCCTAGCGATAGCGAACTTTGGCATCCTCCAACTGAGAAAATTTTAAGAAAATCGCACTGATTGTTGATTTTTTGCTGCTGTTTAAGCTCGAGTCTAACAATAAAAGCTGCGTCTTCCGCGTCTTTGAAGAGTCAATCTGTTCAGATATTGATGAACCAGAAGAAAACCATCTCCACAAATCCACGTGTGTGAGTATGGCCCATCACAGATTCTACGGAACTATTTGCTATTTCACAATCACCATCAAGGATGCGCTAAACACATTCTTCCTACTAGGGATTAGCTGAAAAGATAACATTGTTTCACTTCGCATAATCCCTTACCAAACACGGCTTAAGGCATGCGGCTGTTGTTTCGCTCACACACTGAAAAATGACTCTCTGGTGTGCAGTGGTGTTAGTTGCGACTCTTTCCAGCGCAAATGCCCAGCTGGACTTGCCTGAAGGTCTTCAGGATATTCTAAATGGTGACTACGTCAACCTAAACCTCCCAGTCTTGTTGGGCCAGCTCAACCTCAACCAGATTTGCCAGCAGATTAAAGACAATGAGATTCAACGTGAAGACATCTGCTTCTATCAGTTGAATGTTGTTTGTCAGGATGAGGCCTTTAGAGCCAGAAGTAAGTAGGGTGGGTTGGGGAATGACGCTTCTCTAGTGGGGAATGTGCAGTGGGGGACGCCAGCTCCAAGTTCCCCTATTCCGGGATGCTCTACAGGTCCAGGCTGGATTTGGGGACTTTCGATGAGTGCGTGGAGCTGGATGTTACTAGAGAAGGCATAAGGGTGCTTGGGAAGCACTGCGTTGCTGGCCTGGTCATCCCTACCAAGCCCTTGGGATCACCTGATCTGCTAGAAGTAGGTGGCTGTGTTGAACCATCAACCTTTCTACGGCTGCCTTCTTTACGCAGGGCGCTCATCGCCTCTCCACCTGTCTGCCCGACAAGTGCTCCGCCCAGTATCTCCTGGAGCTGGCCAACCTCAGCTTCGTCTACCCGCTGTTTAATGACTTCAGCTGCTCAACCAGCGAGACTGGCTCTGAGTTCACTTGGGACGACTATGTGGTCATGTGAGTCCTCATCTGCGTCTCCCGCTTGGTTCTAATCGCCCGCATTTTAGCCTGTTCTTTGCCTTGGTGGTCTTGGTGTTGCTTGGCGCCACTGCCTACGACTGGTACGCCGTAGGTAAAAGCCAAATCGGGATTTTGATGTGGTTTAAGCAATTAAACGCCGTGGCTTTCAGGGAAACGCCATGTTCTAGTGCAGGCCTTTTCAATGCTTCACAATGGGCGCAAGCTACTGCAAATATCACGCGGATCTAGTGACCAAGTGTTGGTAATTCATGGCTTGCGCGTGATCAGCATGATGTGGATCGTGGCTGGCCATTCATTCGTCTCAAAGGAGGATAAAGTTGATAATGTCGAAGCCACTCTCAGAGTAAGTTGGACGTTTCCGGAGTCGCGGGGGTATTTTTTTCGATCGCAACCCTTGATGTTCCTAGTAGTTACGTTGATATTTGCAGTTTCAATTCAGCCGCAAAAGCTTCTACATCACCACCGCCTACCTGGCCGTAGACACTTTCTTCTTCCTATCCGGGTTTATGTTGCCCTATCAGTACCTAAAGGCCAAGCCGCAGCCTTTAAAGGAGCACGTCAAGCGCGTCCCAGCCCTCATCCTCCACAGATACGTCAGGCAAGTGCTTGCAACCTACATTTCGGCGCAGCCAAGACATGTTTCTGATAGGTTGACCCCAGTGGCCTTCGTGGCCTTCATCACCTTCACCTCAGTGTTCAAGCACTTGGGGAACGGGCCGCTCTTCCACCTGGCCCTCAAGCAGGAGCGCGACTATTGTCTCGACTATTGGTGGTCCTACTTTACTTATCTGCAGAATTATGTCAACCATCAGGATGTGGTGAGTGGCGCAACGTTTTCCTGCTTTGGGGAGTGTTCTTCGGTTGTTTCAGTGCTTGGTTCACACGTGGTATATCTCAGCCGACTGGCAGATGTTTCTGATCTCGCCCCTCATTCTGATCCCTGTCGCTTTGGCAGTGCGGCGCCATTTCAAAGCGGTCATGGTGGGCTTGGGGGTGGTCAATGTGCTGGTCGCTGCCGTTCCGATAGCTCTCAAATTTACCTTTGAGGACTACGACAAGTGAGTCTAGTTCTAGTCTAGCAGAGAGGTGACCTCTGTACAAGACCAAGACTTTGATTTAGACTAGGGAACATTGCAATGCCCTTATCCTTATCCAGGTGACAATTTTCAGCGCTTTCGAGACCCATTCGAGGCTGACAGGGTACTTCATCGGCTTCGGCTTGGGGGTGTTCATGAGGGAGCGAAGCGACCAGAAGCTTCGCTGCAGCAAAGTGCGTTTCTGACGACTCGAATTGAATAATTTCACTTTGTTTGGTGTGATTCTAGTTGACCAACGCGGCGCTCTGGGCTGTGGCGCTGCTGCTGTTGGCTGCAGCCACTGCAGCGTACAAAGAACTTCAACTCATGATACACTCTGAGCAGGATCAGAGCTACAGCACGTGGGTTATAGTGCTGAGAAGCGGTTGGTGTCTGGGGCTCTGCTGGGTGGTTTACGCGTGTCACAACGGGCGCGGCGGTGAGTTGCTCGACTGGAAACTTCTGATCTTAATTGGGGCTTGTGTGAAGGCGCTATCAACTGGTTGCTGACCACGCCGCTGGTGCAGGTGCTCAGCAAGCTGACCTACTGCATGTACTTCACGCATTTGAGCTTCGTTTTGTACTTCAACGCCACCACGCGCTCACTGAAGTTGTTCAGCCAGTTCGGGGAGGTTTGTAGGGTCAGGGTGGGCACCAGCCCCAAGTAAATCTGGGTGTTTTCCGCAGATCTGGGATGCCATCAGCGTCTACATGATGACGATGGTGTTATCGGTGTTCGCCACCATGGCCTTTGAATCGCCCATCATTGTCCTGGAAAAGCACTTGTTAAGCGGACGAGGTAAGACGTGAGAGGATGAGTTGAGGTGGAAGAGGAAGACGTCTGGGTCTTCTGTAGGTTTGCTGCAGGCGAAGCGCACACACGGTTTTAATGGCCCGGACATCACGAATGTGCCACAGTAAACAGTTTCTCTACGGGTTAACAACGTTTTTCCCCAGAAAACTGGGAAACCCATGAGAGCCAGACATTCTTGTAATCAATGGATGAAATGATGTTATGAACCTAATAAAGTTGTCGTTTTTAAAAAAGTTACATTTGACTGGCATACCCAAGCCTATTCTGGGGCGGTTCCAGCTTTAAAGTCAGGGGGAGGTTATGTAGAAAAAATACAGTCTTCTGTTATCTATGAAATTGCATGTACAAGGGTGGCGCAAGATTATAGTAAAATTTCATGTTTTCCGTCCCGTTTTGCATGTTTCTCGGAGGCAAAATGGGCAAGAACGCTCGTTTTTACATCATTCCAGAGATAACTAAATGGCCTTAATTCGAAGTTTCTCAAGAACCATTCGGGCCACATAATTCGTTCTGGCATCGTTGGATAGAGAATTGAAAAGTCGATTCAGTCGTAACAACGTGAGGGAGGAAATTCGAGTAGTTTTGACCCAGAAATCGAAATTTGAATATCCCACACTTAGGTGCAAGATTATGCCAAAATTCCATGTTTTCCGTCCCATTTTAGATCATTTCTGGGAGGCAAAATGAGCAAGAATGCTCATTTGTACATCATTCCAGACAGAAATAAATGGCCTTTTTAGAAAGTGAACCATGGATGGGGAAATGTTGGCAGTTTTCTCAAAAAATCCTTGAATTCAAGAAGTTCAAGAACGCGACCATCGGAGGCTTCCGATTTCCATTTTCCGGTTTCAATGCACATTGAAACGATGTTGCCATGAATGGAATACCGGAGCTTCTTGGGATGGTGGTAGTTTTTGCATGTTCAAAGAATTGAAGTGGGCACTTTGAGCATTTGCTGACCCAAACTGAACTGTTTTAACTATTGTCCCACTTTATTTGTCCAGGGTGCTGCCCCCTTGCACTCAGGTCAATTTCCCCTCAAACCACATTTATAAAATACGTTTATTAGATGTTTGGTGACATGTTAACAAGAGATAATTCAATATAAAAGGAAAGATCGCGTTCTCTATTGCTGGTCGTGGGGCTCGAGCGCAGCCAAGGATTTTCTGGATGAGCTCAGCCCCTTTCTGGACAGAGAGTGGGAGTTACTGTCCGCGGCGCCCTCTCGTGGCTTCCAAACCGGCGAGCCTGCAACCAGATTTCACGTTAGCAAGCTGGTGGTGCCGACAGAAGCCTCACCTAGTTCTTGCAGTTGAGCAGGTTGGAATTTCTCCGGAGGATGTGACGACTGAATCAGCCGCGCTTGGCTCCCGGTGCTGCCGGCTGACAGAGTCGACGTAGTGCTGCGCAACCGTCCGATTTACCCCCAGGCACCCCAACAGCCAACTCGCTTACCTCAGAGAAAGATGGTTGGGTGTTCGCCCTAGGGAGGCCTTAGCTTTGGTCTGGCCGCCGCTTTGCGAGTCCTCCTCGCCTTCGGATTTGGCGCCCGCATCGTTCCGATCGTGGTTCATTCGCTCCTGAAGCGCATCTGGAAGTTCGCCAGTACAGAATCGAGTTCGGTTCGAGTTCAACCCGTTCATACCTGCGGCATCTCCAAGGGTCTTGCTGCGGCTCCGGAAGCTCCCCGAAGGGTTCTCGCCGTCATGGTCGCTGATGTTGCCAGCCGAATGCCGTTGCGTTTTCGGTTTCTTCGGCTTGCCCAGCGTGTGCGATCCACCCTGGATGACCACGTGCTGCTTCGGACGCTCCAAAGTGTGGCTGCAACCGTTTTGCCGGGTTGTAGAAGCAGCCAGCCGGTGGCTCAACTTTACCTGTTGGCGTGCTCCGACTTTTGCTCGGTGACCAGCAGCATTCCCGGGCCGCTTCCCGGCTTGGTGGCTGGGATCGACATGTTTCGCACCGATTCCCGGATGATTTGCCTGATGGTTTTCAGGAAGGCGTTCCTGAAGTCGGCCGTGCTGAAATTGCCAAGATTTTGAGGATTTCCGAACGTTCCGACTAGGCCTGGGTAACACTCTGTTGCCTCTCTGAGTTACCCAGGGCTAGTTCCAACTACCTGTTGGAGAGGACGTAGGTCTTCTCGGAGCGTCGTTGCAACTGGCTACGCAGATGGATCAGCTCCCAGAGGAAGTGCGAGTCCATGTCCTTGGCAGAGGAGGCGCGCACCTGCACCTCCGTCACGGGAATCAGCACCTGGTAGCGGATGATCTCCACTTCAGAAGACGCTGCTTTCGATGTGACGCCCTGCAACGTTCAAATGGCTCGGCCCTCCAGTCTGTTTGTTGTCACAGCCAGCAACTCACCATAATTTTCTTCTTCTGACGCAGTCGTTCTTTGCATAGGAAAACCACCGCCGTCCTGAAGACGAAGCACATGGCGTGCAGCTCGAGCCCCTTCTTGATCTTCCCTAGGAAGTCGCTGATGTTGAGCCATTCCACGCCCCCATAATACAGCAGATCGCCCGGACTCAGATCGATCGGCTGCTTGCAGGACTTTTGGTGTTGCCGGAAGAGGTGATCGAAAATGGCCCCGTACTCCTCGTGGATTCGTTGCATTTCGTTGATGTGCTCGGCGGCCTTTTCCATGCCCTTCAGAGCCTCTGCAGGAAATCGTTGATTTGCTCCTGCCCATTATGCGGCCTGCAAGACGACTTACCGATTAGGTGGAGGTGCTGGTCGGTGTTCGGGTCCGTTAGATTGCGCAGCTGTTGCAGCAGAAGCGGGTACTTGAGGAGGCGTTGAATGGGCTTGATCAGGAACGACTCCAACGTGAACGAGTGCTGCTGTTTGGGGTTTCTCGAGATGAGGAACTCCTGCAGCGCCTGGTTGCCTTCATCTGCAAGCAGAGCAAGGTTGCAAGGTTTGCAGCGTGCATCTAATGAGGCTTACTTGGATGTAAGACCTTCTGGGCCTTGCTGTGGCTGGCGCAGAACGAACTGTACTGCTTGAAATGGTTGACGTAGTACAGGAAGGTATTCCCGATAGAGAACAGGATGTTCTAAAAAAACCGGGGTTGTATGTGGAAAACCCGCTGAAACCGGGGGTACCTTAAAGTGATTGGGATGCTCGAACTGGTCAAAGTCCGGCTCCTGGTCGACGGCTTCTTCAAGGTTGCGCAGGAACTGCCGCTGGAACGCCACGATTTCCTGGATGTTGCCAAACATGGCGTTGATTTCCGCCCCCGAAAGGAAGGTCTCCTTCTTGAGCGGCTCCAGGTAGTTCTCCAGGAGGCTGTTCAGGTGCTGCAAGAAACCAAAGGTTCCAGATTGGAACTTCAACTGGCTTTTACTCAGCTGGTTCACCTTGACGTAGGTTCTTTCGGTGTCCACCAGCTCCATGATCACCTTGCGAAGCTTCTCAGCGTCAGAAAGCTGCCGGGACGGCGTGGAGCTGGTTGGTGGGTTGGTGGTCGAACTAATCGCCTTGCGGGTCTCGACTGGAGACCGGCAGAACCCGGTTACCTGCAAGGGAGAGTAGTGTTGTGTTGTGAAGCAGAGTGCTTCACTTATAGTGATGGCCTCACTCACCTGTTCAGCGCTCTTCAGCAAGTTCTCGATCTCAAAGGAATTGGTACGTGAGGACACTTTGACCGATGGATCCGCAATGGTGGACTGATTGTCTGCGTCCGAGCTGTACCGGTCCTTTCCAGGAGCGGGCACGATCAAGCCCGAGATCATTTCGTCGCTGATGACTGGCGGCTCCGTAGGCGGCGGCGGACACACCAAGCTTTCGATGATATCGTCGGTGGCTCTCATCAAACCGCTGATATCCGGAGGCTCGGTGCGAGCGGAGCGCATCATCATGCAGAGCGCCAGTTCCTCTTGGAGCACGCTCTCCAAGTACATCATGTCCAGGTCGGAGACGATGGAGCCGTTGATGACCATGATTTCGTCCCCTTTGATGATGCCTGTAAGGGTTAGTTGCCTGATCATTGGCAGGATTTGTGGGATTTTTAGGGAGTGGGTGTCGGGGAAGGACCCTACCGTTTTGCATGGCCACGCTCTTGTCCTCCACGCGGCTCACGTAGCAGCAGAGCTCGTCCTGTCGGTCTGCATTTTCCACCAGCTCCGCCTCCACGCTGAAGCCCCACATCTGCTCCAGTGTGCTTCTGGATAGTTCCACTTGATAGAGGATCTTGGCGCAAACCTCCACGACCTCATGAGTGTGCAACTGCGGAAAGTGGAACGGTTGAACTCTTGTGAGAGAGACTCTCATCGAGACTCACGTAAGTCTCGATGAGGTCGCTGCGATGCGGCACGAAGTAGTTGTGGTCCTCCATGTCTTTGCGCTTTTTCACCCGTACGAAGTGCTCGGAAGGGTTGAGGTTCTTGCGGGCGCAGGCACTTGATAGGAACTCCTCCACGGACATCGACTCCCGAACAAACACGGTGGTTGTTGCCAGGTCGGGCAGGGACACTTTGATGGTTTTTTCCGTCTCGTCTCGCGAGCTGATCTGTTTACGGCAAACCTCTTGTTTACCCTTGAGGGTGTACCACGCGAATGGGAAAAATACCTGCAAAGAGCGCCGACTGGATCCGCTGTTGGATCTGGATAGGAGAGGAGGACGTCGCTTGGTGGCCCCGCGCCCTGCCAGCAAGTTGTTGAGCAGCGAGGGGCTGCGGGCGCAAATGAACGCGTGGAAGGAGGACACCGTGAAGACGCCTAGCTTGTTCAGGGTGTTCTTGGTGGCTCTGGACACATGCGTCAGGAGCGACTGGAAATCACCGGCCGAATCAAGCCCTGCCCCCGCAGTGCTGGTGTGGAGCCTACCTTCGGATTGGGCAGTTCCCCGCTTTGGAGGCTGGCCATGTAGCAGCGCAGCCGGAACTGCTCGCAGTGCAGCCGCTCCAGATTCTCCTCCCACTGCATCACCTGGTTGCCTAGTTGCTGGCGCCCCTCCAGGTCCATCACCACGCTCTGCTGCATCTCAGCCATGTGCTTCAGCTTGTAGTCCTGAGGAAAATTACCCACATTATCAATCGCTGGCAAGCGCTCTGAAACTGCTTACGGTTTCAATGGCCTTCTCCAGCCGGAAGATTTCCTCCTGCAGCAGATGCAGCGTGCCAGTCTTGCCGCGGTGGCGGGCGAATGCAGCCGCACACGCGCTGTGGATGCTGTTGACCCAGTTCTCCAACTCCACCTGACCAAACCAAGCAATAAAACCCGGAAGCATTAGAGAGGGGGCTGGTTTGGTACCTGGCACGGGGCCTGGAAGAGGTACGCGTCCCCGAAGGCGGTACTCAAGCAGAAGATGAAGTCGCGCTTTGGGTGCTCGGGGATCGGCTGCATGATGGCGCCGTCCACGATGATCAGATGTTTGGGGGCCGCCTCCACGCTCCGCCCCTCGCGAGACTCGCATGGGTAGAACAGCAACGTGGTCCCCTTGAGGCAGACCCAGTAGCCCTTCCAGCCACGTTTGCGCGCCAGCTCGATCTGGTGCTTCTTGCGCAGCAGCCACTTCTTCACGCTCAGAAATCTGCAGGCAGCAGAAGGTCTGGTGATTTTCCAACCAAAAGGCAACTCCCAAATAAAAGAGGATTTTATTACGAACGAAACATTGGGTATGGTCTACAGGCTAAATTAGACTAGGCGCAAGCTGGCTTCCCGTCCTTCGGCAGGATGATGTTGGTGTTGATCACCAACGGCGACATTTTCTGGAACTCGATGTTCTTGCGCATCTTGCGCTGCAGGTCCTGCAAGCAGCTGCACTCCAACGGATTGCCGGTCAAGTTCAGGACCTTGATCCTGCTGATGCCGTTCTGCATGAACTCAGCAGGCAGGCAGCTGATGCGGTTCTCCGACAAGTCAACCAGCTCAGCTTTCAGCAGCTTGATCAGCAGCTGGGCGCTGGTGAGCTGGTTGTGGTCCAGACGCACCTCGTGGTACTGCTTGGCATCCAGCGCGGCCTTATGCACCACTTCAATCGCATTGTAGCTGAGCAGAATGCTCAGCAGCACGTTGTCCTTCAGCTGCCTTAACGTGCCCTGGTGCAGCTGCTTGAAGAAGTTGTGCCTTAGGGAAATCAGCTTCAGCTTGCGACAGTTGGCGAAGGTAAAGTTGAACACGCTGAGCTCGTTGCGGTCCAGAATAATCGTGCGCAAGTTGCTCATGAAGTCGAATGCCGCTGGGGCGATGTGCTTGATGCCGTTGCTGGTCAGATTCAGATCCGTGATTGTCAGGTTGGCGAAAACTTGAGCGCTGATGTTGGATAAGGCGTTTTCTGTAATGATCAGACTGTGCAAAGGCTTGGGCAGCCATTGGTGGAGAGGCTCGGTCAGATCGGTCAGGCCCACATCTTGTGCCAGCAACGTGTGGAGGTTCTGCGCGCATTGGAGTTGCTTTAGGTCCAACGCTGCTGTTTTCAGCTTCCCCACTCGGATTTCCTCGGCATTGCAGAATATTCCCGTGAAGTTGGGGGTGGATTCGGACACTGGCAGCATAGTTTCGCCCGTTCGCACCTCATACTCACTGGTCGACTGGCAATGGATGCTTCCCACACTGGCTAGGATCAACAGCAGGAATTTGCGCCACATCTTGCCCGTTTGCTCTGCAGCCAAAGCAAAACTGCGCCGTTTGCCCGCAGGATCTCGCTCATTTTCCATTTAGCCAAAGCAATTGGCTAATGGGTTCGCCAAGCTTTGTGCTGTTGTCTCCTAATGCGCATAATTATCTTCGGGCTCTGTGGGCCGAGTTGATTGTATGGCACATTAAGCGTTCCGACAATGGCCATTATCTACGCTGCGCGGCACTTTTTTATTTGTTTTCTGCATGAAATCCAAAGATCAAGAACTGCACCAAAATTAGTCCAAATTTGTCAGTGTTTCGTTGATTTTCTTGAACAGTTTACTGTGAATAGTGGAAAACTGAAAGTGCCAAAAGGACGCAAGCCATGAGCCTCCTGGCTTCCACACCGTTTGAGAGAAAAATGTTTAAACTTGGGCGCTAAAATGGAATTTTATAGTTAAACAGTGCATCGATTGGGCGCGCCCAACTATAATGGATATTAATTTGCCCGATTTCACCCCGAATGAGATCGCGGATTCCAGCCAGTGTCATTAATTTAGATTGGAATAGAGCAGGCCCGAAGCCCCAAAGCAGGAAACTACCTGCTGGCGGCGTTAATGAGATTATCATGTTGCCGCGGTGATTGACAAATTCTTAATTTTAACACTCGCAAATTCTCGCTCTCTTGCACCGGTTTACTCAAAAATTTATTGCTCAAACCTGATTAGAGCCAGGGAGTTAGTTTTTGCATCTTCCGATAGATGAAAATCGCCTCTATATTCTAGAGAAGTTCAGTTAAAAAGCCATTTTCTAAACATTGTTGACAATTTTTTTATTTTAACACTTGCAAATTGTCGCCCTCTTGCAGCGGTTTGCCCTAAAATTCATTAATCAGCAGTGTTTATAGCTATTTAGTCAACTGTTGCACTATTAGATAGACAAATATCCGGTATATATTAATGAAAAGTTACATTAGAAACTCAGCTCCAGAAGATTTTTGGGGAATTTTTTAAATTGAACTTTTGCGATTTGCTACTTCTTCACCACTCTTTGTTCAAAAAATAATTGCTCAAACCTGGAAAGAGCTAGAAGGTTAGTTTTTGCATTACTGAATATAACAAGATTGGCTCTATATTCTAGGGAAGTTTCGTTAAAAAGTCATTTTATAAAGATTTTTGGCGATTTTGTAAATCGAACACTTGCAGCGGTTAGCTCAAACAGTAATTCCTCAAACCTCGTTACACCTAAACAATTTTTTTGCTGTACTCAGTAGATCACAAGAGCCTCTATATTACAGAGAAGTTGTGTTATAAAATCAATTTCAAGGAATTTTTGGCAATTTTTTTAATTGAAAACTTGCAAATTCTCCCTCCCTTGCGTTAAGTTAGTTAGTTAGTTAGTACAAAAAATAATTCCTCAAACCTGGTTAAGCCTAAAAAATTTTTTTTTACACACAAATTTTTGTCACAAGTTTGAGGTACATCGAGCGTCCAAACAGCAACAGTTGTTGGGTGCAACTTGTTGATTCCAAAGCGAAAAAGCTCTGCACTTACCCAGCTTTTCGGACTGCACCAGTGCAGTTGAATGAAGCGGCCGCGGTGCCGGTTTGCTTGGCTTTATACGGGGAGTTCATAACACTCTCGCCCTCATCCTCATCGGAAACGGCTGTAGTGAGGGACATGCGGTCATCGTCCGAGATCTGAAACAGATTTCTGTTGTTATCTTCAAGGGAAAGCGTGTCTGCTTCGTGTAGGGTTTTGGAAATGTTGGACTTTTTGCGAAACCTTTGAAGTCCTTGCAGCGAGAGGCAATCAGCCGCATTGAGGAAGGGGATCAAATTAGTTGAGCGGATTCTACGGGTGCTACAATGGGTGATGAGCATGAGGCTGAAAGCAGAGAAAGCTCATCCACACCGCCGACGTGCGCATGATTGATTGATTGAGGATGTGGATACCTTTAGGAGAAACAGCGCATTACAGCGTTCAGCGTCTTGTTTCTCGTTCCAGTGAATGTGGCGATAGCGCAGATTGCCCATGACAGTCGATTTATTTAATTTGGTCACCTCTTTGGCCAATCGGTAAATAATTTGTTTTCGAATTTTTTTCTTGCGTCTGCGCTTCTCGATCGCCCGCTCGTCCATCTCGCTTGTATCGCCCTGCGAGGGCGGAGCCTCCTCGGTCACCTGTCGAAACACCATCAAACTAGTAGAGGCTGCGCGCACCCACCTTTACTGTGCGCATCGCTTACCCACGTACTCAGCACGGTTTCGATAAAGTTGAAAAACTTTTGAACGTTCGTCTCCATTTGCTCGTAGGGCGGCATATAAAAATTCGTATTTGCACACACCTGCAGCAGGAAGTTGTCTCCGAAGTGGACAGTCTTGCGCCGTCGGCGTTTAGACAGCGACATGCTGCTGATGGTGGCGGCCAATTGTCGTTGCGAAACGTTGCGCTATTGTAGGCCGGCACTTTTGTGCGATTTTTCGTGAAATGCTTCGCTTAATTCGGTCTTCCATCGCTTGGTCAAGATGTCCTACACAGTCTGATCGATAAAGCACCATCACCCACGACCATACGGAAATTGCTTAACGGGTCTTCACACTTAGTTTCAATGGGAAATACTGGTAACTGTGTTTTAATCGACAGTGCTATTTGCGGTTTATAAGCAGGCAACTATTTTGCTTGCTACGATGCTTGCTCTCGGTCTGCGGTCTGTTTGAAAAATTTGTGAAAAATCAGGTTACAGGTTGATTCCAAAGAAATTTTCCCGGTTTTTAGATTGAACTATGTTCGCCAGACTGTAAAAATTGCAAGCAGATTCTTGCTCCAGATCGAAAGTTACAAATTTTTAAACAAAAAAGTGCAGTTGCGTAAAGACGGTTATTATTGGTCTTGGATTTACAAATTTGCCAAAAATCA